AGCTCCACCGCTCATGCATCGGGTCACTCGCCTCCGCAACTGACTGTGATCGCCATGCTCATTCGCCTGCTGTCCCGTAACCTCAGATTTGTCCTCCTCCTCTGCCGCTCGTTCTAAGACTGTGCCTCCCTTACGCTCGTCCCCCTCCCCTGGCTCTTTCTCTTCCACGCCCTCCTTTCCGCGCGTTCCCTTCCTCGTCTCCGCCGCCTTTTCTTGCCTGCGCGCGCCGTCCGCGGTGCATGGCAGGTGGCGTGCGGCACGGCGGTCGAGCTCAACGACCGCCGCGAGATAGGGCTGTGCCTCGCTGCGCGCCGAGCCAACGCGGAGCGCGTCTACATAGGCGTCAAAAGGTGCGGGATGGCCGATCTCCAGGGCGTTGCGGGGCTGGCGGGATTTAGTGGGCTCATCTGGTTCGATCAGTTGTGCTCTGTTGGATCGCCCGCGGGAGCGGGCCCCACCACCACCTGCAGCGCCTCTCCGCTCCCCCCCCCGCTCCTCCTCCCTCCGCACATTCTCTCCCTTTTCCGTCATTCTCCCCTTCCCCTTTCTCCCTTCCGTCCACTGCCCCCGCGTAGCAGGAAGCTGCTGGGGTGGTCATCGTCGGGCGTGGTGGCGGCGTGTCAGACGTCGCTGCCGCGCGCGTGCACGCTCGTCGTGTCGCAGGGCGGCCGCGGCCACAAGCACCAGCAGCTCATCGGCGCGCAGCGCACCGACCTCTCCGCGCTGCCGTCCGTCTTCCTGCAGTTCCACTCCGCGCCCTCCTCCAACGACGCCCTCGCCGCCCGCCTCGCGCCCCCCGCACTCCCCCCCGCCACCCCCTCTGCGCTTAAACCCCCTGCGTTCGCCTCCCCCCTGCACGTGCGCCGCCCCTCCGACCCCCCGCCGCTGGAGGCGTCCGCGTCCCCCCTGGGCAGCAGCGGCGCGCCGTCGTCCGAGTTCTCCATCTCGTCCTCCTCCTCCGGCCCGCACTCCCGCTCTCTCCCCCTCGCAGCGCCCGCGCCCGCCCCTCCTGCAGCAGCGGCTGGCGGAGAGGCGGCGGAGAGGGATCCATGGGGACAAATGATGGACCGGGGGAAAGGGGCGGAGCAGAGGCGCGCGGGGGGGGGAGGGGAAAGGGGGAAGCAATCGCGCTTATCGTTTTCGACGCTGGAGGAGCTGCAGCAGATGGCGGTGCGCGAATCCGAGGTGCGGCGAGTGTGGCCGGGCTAGGGGGCGTGTTACGAGTGCAACGGCACCTGTGCTGGCCCGCTGGGGCGTTGTCTCTCGCTCCTTGCTGCGCGCGTGCCACCCCGCTTTCGCCGCGTTCACTCACCCTTCTCCCCCTCCTTCCCTATCCCCTCTTCCCTCCCTTCCCCTCGGTTCCCCACACCTTCCCTACCCTCTTCTTCCCCCCTCTAACCCCCACACACCCGCAGGCCAGCGGCGCGCAGCCCATGTCCTCCGCGGCACGCCATCGTTCCCCCGGCGCTGCTGCGGCCGGAATGCCCGCCAGGGACGGGGGTTGGGGGGAAGCGGCGCTGAGGGGGGCGGGGCGCGGGGCGGGCATGGGGCCGAGCCTCAGCGCGTCGTGCTCGCCCTCCGCCACGCCCGGGGGGATGGCGATGGGGGCAGGGGGCGAGGAGGGGCAATGGGGGGCCGGGCATGCAGTGCGGAAGCGAAGTGCGGAGCGAGTGGTGTTGCCAGAGGGGATTCCGGAGGAGGGCGAGGGGGGCGGGGCGGCGGGGAGAGGGGACTGGGATGGGGGAGGGGAGGAGGAAGGGGAATGGGAAGGGGGAGGCGGAGGGGGAGGGGGGCGATCGCTGCTGGCGGACGAGCTGGCGATGCTGGAGGCGGAGGATGAGGGGGGCGAGGGGGGAGAGGAGGGGGGGGGGGAGGGGAAGGAAGCGGCGTGGGTGGGCAAGGGCGTGAGCAGCAACCGCGAGGTGGACGGCAGTGCTGCGGGCGACAGCAGCGCAGGGGCGGGCGACGGCAGAGAGGTGAGGTGGGGGGGCGTGCAAAGGGTTAAGCACGTGGGCAGGTGGGCGGATGGGCGGGCAGGCATGCAGGGGCGGGTGTGAGCGAGATGGGGGGGGACCCTTTTTTTGCATCCCCCTTCGCTTTCCCATTTTGAACCTTTTCACTTTCTATTTCTCCCTCACACACACCCCTTCTCTCTCTCACTGCTCCAGTCTCCCACCCTCTCCGTCCCTCCCCCCTTGTGCATGGCGCCATGTGTACCCCAATGGCCCTCCACCAGCCGGGGCCAGCACTGTCGCCAGCGCCATGCAGCCCGCTGGCGGGCAGCAGCAGCTTCAGGGGCAGCGCGCTCAGCCCGGGAGGTAGCAGTGCGGGCGGCAGCAGGCAGGGCAGCCGCCAGGGCAGCATGCAGGGCAGCATAGAGGGCGTGGCGGGAGGTGGCGTGGGGGCGATGAGTGGCGGTGGCAGCGTGGGAGCGGGGGACAGCAGCGGCACCGGGGGGCTCCTGTCCAGGCCCGCGCCCACGTCGTCGTCGTCGTCGTCGTCACGCGCGTCGCGCTTCCACCACCTGTCGGCGCCGTCCAACACGTCCCTGGCGGCGTACTCGCAGGGCCCCACGGCCTCGCAGCCCGCCGCCTCCTCCTTCGGCCGCTCCGCCTTCTCCTCCGGCCAGCTCACCCCCGGCAGCAGCTCAGCAGTGGGCGACGGCTTTGACTGCCGCCAGTTCACGGCGCAGCAGCTCGCGCGCGCCACCAAGAACTACGCGCAGGAGAATCTCCTGGGAAAGGGGTCGTTCGGGGCGGTGTTTCGCGGGGAGATGCTGGGGTGCCAGGTGGCGGTGAAGCGGCTGGAGGGGCAGGGGTGGCAGGGGCCCGACGAGTTCCGCGTGGAGGTGGAGGTGCTGAGCCGCATGCGCCACCCCCACATCGTGCTGCTCATGGGCTGCTGCACCGAGGAAATGGCGCTCGTCTACGAGTTCCTCCCGGGCGGCACGCTACAGGACAAGCTGGGCCCGCCCAAGACGGCGGACGCGGTGCGGCTGAGCTGGTCGGACCGGCTGCGCATATGTGGGGAGATGGCGACGGCTCTGATGTACCTCCACCGCAACGACCCGCCCATCGTGCACCGTGACTTAAAGCCCGACAACATCCTGCTGGACGGCAACCTGGCGAGCAAGATTGGCGACGTGGGGCTGGCGCGGCTGCTGGAGGCGGACGGCTCCACCACCATGAAGGTGCGCGGCACGCTGGGGTACATCGACCCCGAGGAGGTGGAGACGTGTGAGATCAGCGTGCTGTCTGACGTGTACGCGCTGGGGCTCATCATGCTGCAGCTGCTGACGGGGCAGCGCGCCGTCAAGGCCGTGCACCGCATGCTGGCGGAGTGCGCCAAGCACGCCAAGACAGCCCAAGGCAGCCAGCCGGGGCCGGGGGGGGCAGCAGTGGGGGCGGTGGGCGTGGTGAGCAAGTACCTGGAGAGCACGGGCGGCGAGTGGCGCATGGACCTGGCGGAGGAGGCCGCGGGGCTGGCGCTGCGCTGTGCAGACCGGCGGCGCGAGAACCGGCCGAGCCTCAAGAAAGAGGTGCAGCCGGCGCTGGTGCGGATCGCTGCGGCAGCGGAGGAGGAGGTCAAGGCACGCAAGAAGCACAGCGACTTGCAGTTCATCTGCCCCCTCTCCAAGGTATGCCGTGTCTCGTGTGCTCTCAGAAACCCACCCTTTGTTGCACACTCACACACGCACTGGTTTCACTCTCACATGCTGTCGTGACATTTATCATCACCCTTTCCCTCCTCCGTGTTGTGCATGCAAATGCCACCACCGCGTGCACACTCTCAATGCGCACCCTGCCTTGCTCTGCCCTACACACACCACGACCACGGCCACGATGGCAGGAGGTGATGAGGGACCCGGTGGTGGCGGGGGACGGGTTCACATACGAGCGCGAGCACATCACTCGCTGGATGGCGTCCTGCACACTCTCGCCCTCCACGGGGCAGCCCCTGCCGCACACCTGCCTCACCCCCAACAACGTCCTCAAAACGCTCATCTCCTCCCACAACATGCACTGATCTCATCCCCTCTCGGCTGCACCCTCGCCTCTCACTCCCTCTACATACAGTGAAGCCCCCCTTCTTTTTGCCCACCTGTCCACTGTTGCCTGTCAACCCACTGTACCGCTGCTCATTTCCATTCCCTTCTCTACTCCGCTGCCCTCTGCTTCCCTCAGCTCATCCCGCTCCTCCCCGACCCAGCATCTCTCCACACCATCTTGCTCCGCCACTGCCCCCACCCTCTTTCTGCTTCTACAGAATATCCCCCTCTGCCGCACGAGGCACACACTCCCATCCCATGCACAGCCTGCCCCAGTGCCCAACCTTTTCCCAGCTGCAATGCCCTCTCTATTTTTGCAGCTGGTGGGAGATGCCTTTTCCAAGGTCCCGGCCTTGCTGTGCTGCACTCTGCACCACTGTGCTCCCTCAAAACGCATCTCTGAGCTGCACGTGCCTTATATTTAAACATCCACACACCTGCACCGCATCCATCCTTGCATGCTGCTTGTGTGCAATGTGCGGGTTGAGTGCACTGCCACCGGGGTGCATCATTGACACAATTCACCCGTTAGAAGCATAGGTAGAATGCGTGCAACCATTTGCCAGCTGACTTGTCCAATCATTGGTTGCAACAAAGATAACAATTTCATTGTCTGCATGGTGAGTCAATTATTCTATGAACAAATTTACAAATTCTCGTACCAACAAAGGTCCTTTATACTAGGGTTGATGGCTAGCAAAATGGTGTACGGTACATTGCCAACGGCGTTCCCTAGAGGGTTCAAGTGAAATGACTGCGCAGGAATCCATATTTCTCTGAACCTACATTCCCTTCGTGGCTTCTCTCTCGAGATTCGCTCATTCCCCTCGAGATTCCTTCTCCATCACAACGTTCGTCGCCTTCATCACGACTAACAAGCCCAAGTTCTCCATTTTCTTGCAGACTTATTCACAGGGCGAGCCTTTGTCATTCACGCTGTCCCGATTCAATCATGGCGTCGCGCGATTTATACAAGACTAAACTCTGCGTGCTCCATGAAAGGGGAAAGTGCGACAGACCTAACTGCACATTCGCGCATGGAGAAGAGGAACTTCGTAAAGCTCCCCCTGGAGCAACTGGTGAGTGTCTACTGGTGCCGTTCATCTGTGCGAGACATCTGTTAATTTGCTTTCCACGAAGCCGGTTCATCGGGCCTGAGAGCTGTCTCTGTTTGTCCTTGTGTAAGCGATCCTCCACGCTTCACTTAATATTGGCTTCATCCGAAGTTCAGTTATTGGCAACTTACGTGACACCATGAAAACGGCACCGGAGGATTCTGTCTTCTCAAACCCTAGTTGACGAAGATGCATGTCTTGTGAAGTGTTGAGCAAGGTCGTTTGATTACCTTTCCACCTCCATCCGTTTTCAGACAGAACCGTCCTGACGCCGGTGTTAAAGTGAGTTGCCCTGCGTTTCTGTCAGTTGTTCACGAAAAACAGGCGAGTCCTTCATCATGTGGTTTTACTCGATGTTCCTGTTTCTGTCATCTTCATAAGGCGTTTCAGGAAAGTACTCGGGGTACAGAGGAGGGGATCTTCGCGATCGCATGCGTTACCGTTCTCCGCCTGAAGATGGCAGACGCCGTGGACGGAGGCCTTCTCCTCCTAGGAAGCGGGGTGAGTGCGTTACGTGTCTTTGACAAGTCGGTCATGGTGCTGGATGTCTCTGTCTTTCTTGTGGTGCTAATTTCCTTGACTTCCTGCCTCTCCAGGCCGCAGCATTTCTCCGTCACCTTCAAGAGACGACTATTCTGATCGTTCATATGACTCACGCTCAAGGTCGCCTTCTGAGACCAGGTGCTTCTAATTGCATGGACATTGTGCTGCTAATTGAATGGACATGTCAGGTCCTGATTATGCACATAATGCTTTTTTGGATCTGTGAGTCCTCTTCACTAAGTTGCTTTTGTTCCCTGTTGACACTTTCCATCTTAGTGAAAGGCATCATGGTGAGAGGAAACGAGAACGCGGAGTGGACTATCGAGCTGCTGGACCTGGTTCTGGCAGCAGGGTTGTCTCTGCTGAAAGGATGGAACTTGAGCGTGAGGTACATGGAAAAAGGCATTCGCCTTTAACAGTTTAACCTCGTGGTGCATTTGGGCTAAATGGTTACAGTTTGAAATTTTGCAGAGAAAGATGCTTCTGAAGGACGTGACCATACAGAGGGAGCACTGCGACACCCTCCAGGTTTGGAATAGACGTTTGATGGGCTTTTAGTGTTTATATAGGGGATAGCATGTTAACTAGTCTGTTTCTTGTTTATCGGCAGACCCTCCTTGGACGCAAGACAGAACTGGCAAAGGATTTGTTGGAGCATGCGAAGCTGCTGGAGAGGGATGTCCAAGAGAAGGAAGGCCTTATTGCCGAGTAATTGTTGTGAATATGGTTTTGTACGACCAAGTATGTGGCCTGGTGTAGCCATCGTTTGTTCATTTGAACTCGTTGGATTGATGCAGGATATCTGTTAACTTGAAGACGCTTGTCGAAGCACAGCAGTGTGTCATGGCAGCAGAGGACGATGTGAAAAGGTAGAGCAGTATGATTTTTTGCACAAAGGGGATTTCGTTTTTTTATTCTGAGCATTGCTGAAACTGTTTCTCTGCAGGTCCAAGATTCAGCTCAACATGTTTTTGGAAGAGTTGACTCCAGATGACTTGACACCTGCTGTTTCGGCTTTAGCGAATCTTGCAGAGATTCCCATGGCTCTGGATGCTGCACCTGTTGCAAATGCAACTGGCACTGCTTTTCCTCTCAATCATGACGCATCTGGGGACATGAGCTTCGTGCCAACTCCACATGTAGGAAATTCTGATCTGGAATTACCTGGTCCGGATGTGGCTGGTAACCATTTAATGCCTTACACAAGGCCTTCTGCTGTTGAAAATCAATCCTCTGGCAGAGCAAGCTCGTCAAGGCGGCTTTCTCAAGGTACGATTGGTAGAAGCCTCTTCTCTGTGCCAGCATTACATACACGTGCTGATATTTGTGTTTGTAATCCACAGATGAGTATGCAAGGACACGTCTTGAAGACCCCACTCATGAGTCGCAGCCTCCAATGAGGAGAAGACAGTCTCGTGACAGTCGACATGCTGAGAACAGATCTGACTTTCGTGGTTCGGAACAGAGAAGTGGGCGCGGCAGAGCATCAGGCATGAGGGACAGGGACCACAAAGATGAGGAGATGAATGGTCCAGGTGACCGAGGTGTTTATCAGGAGGATGAAGATTTCAAGCCACCCAGACCCAGGGCTGCTCCTGATGATGATGAGGGGGGGGAGCAGCCTGTTGCTGATGCAGCAGAGGCTAAAGCATCTGGCAAGGGTATTGTCATGAAGTTTCGTGAAAATGACAAGCGCGGGAAACGTCAAACTGGGCAGGAAAAAGACGCAGAGAAACAGACTAAGCTTGCCGAGGACTCTGGAAAGGGGAAGCAGAGTAGGAATGCTGATAGTGACAAGGTCTTGAAGACGTCTGAACGGAAGGTCCAGGATGCTCCCTCCCAGCTGAAGTGGCTTAGGGAGGAAAAGGAGTCGCTTGCCCGCAAGCCGGAGCTCACTGTAAGTTTGTCTACCTCTTTGCTGGTTTTGGTGATATTTCTTTGTAATCTCAACCTTTTTTTTGTCGTGCAGGTTCCTGCTCAGTCAAGCATTGTAAAGATACCACTACTTGACAAGGCAAAGCAGGGAAAGGTCAAGGCGGACGAGAAAATGGAACTGCAGGATCAGCAACTGCAGATTGAGCAGTCAGAGGAGGAGGATGCGTCTCTAGCTTCCAAGAAGGATCCTGTTGCCACACAGGGTGCTGCAAAGCAGGAAAATGAGAAGGCGAAGCAGGAACAGATACAGCAACGGCAACAGGAGCTTATGGAGCACATTCAGAAGCAGATTCATCAGCGTCAGCAGGAGGAGCAGCTGCAGCACCAGTTGTTCCAGCAGCAGATGGCAGCAGAGGAGGCTGAGAGAAGGGCTATGTATGCTGCTCATTACCAGCAGCAGCAGCAGCTTGAGCAGCAATACTACCAGCAGCAGCCAGACCCGTACCTCATGCATGCCGAGGGGTATGCGCCTCCAGAGCATTACCAGATGCCCCCTGCAGAGTACCCCATGGAGGAGGATGAGGCCCCTCCAGGTGTGACGCCTCAAGCAGATGAGGCAACCGCCCACCCAGTGGCTCATGATGTCTTCGGTATGTGCTGCCCTCCAATCACTCATGTCTTCATTGTTCAATTCCGGAACCTTGTGCTGACCCTTTTTCCCCCTCCTTTCCCTTCTGTTCCCAATCTCTGCTTCCAGCAGCCGCTGCTCCTGTTGAATAACTTGAGCCGTCCAGCAGCGCATGCTGAGTGTGTTCTCGGGTGTTTGCTGCTGCTTGGCGCAAGTTCAGATGCTCAACATCCAACTGTTCAGAATCATGCCCTGCATTGACTGTAGTATCAATTTTGGCTATTGGCTACTAGTACGTGACCTGCGTCATCTGTTTAGGAGCTACAAAGCATGGATGCCTTCTATCTGCATTGTCTAGAAATTTCCCTAGTGCAGTGTCAAGACCCTTTATTGGTCCAGGGAAATGAATCCAGACAGCAGCCTCCCATTAGTGCATCTAAACTCGTTCAGCAACTTCGCACTGGAAGAGCTAAGAGCACCAACAAAATAATCACTTTCAGAGGCAATGAGGAGCTGAGATAGCATACTAGCTGTGGCACCCATTGCAGTGCCCAGGCTGCCTTCCAAACCAGAAGGCCATGATTGCCCATCATGTGCATCCATACTCCCTCCAGCACTGTGGAACGTCCAGTCACGGTGTTCCGAGAGCTCATTGCTCACATCCTGCACACGGAAACGCAAGATAGATAAGTGTGTTGCATGTCAGGAAGCATGAACAGTGGACAATGCGTGGACTAAGGGTGGCCCCACATGTCACATGGGACAGCATGCAGGCAATAACGGGAGGAGAGTGGGCACATACAGGCACAGAGGCCGTCAACCACACGTGGCGCAAGTGTGGCACATAGCGCCTCAGACGATGGGCCAAGAACATGAGCGCGGGGATGTCTGGTCGCTGGGGTGATGCTGCTGGCAGCGTAGTGTTGGTGGTTGCACCGCCACTGCTGCCTGCTGCAGCCACCGCCTCCCCTGCTGCTCCTGCGGCTGCCCCACCTGTGCCCACACTCACATGCACACTCACTATTGGCCGCATGATGTACGCCTCCCTCCCCACTCCCTCATTCACCTCGTCTATAATCACACTCCCTCCCCACGTTCCCTCCTTCACCTTCACACATCCTTCAAACCCTAATGCTGGCCACAACCGACCCTCCAGGCTTGGCCCGGCCCTGATGTCTACCGAGGCTAGGAATTTGGCTTCGGCAGCCGTATCGATTCCAACACTCTTGTCGGCCTCGGACGGGCCAGCAGAGAGAGAGCGGATGATGGCAGCCTGCTGCTGGGCGGCAGAGTGCATCTGAGCAGCAATGTAACGGCCGTAGCTGATGTGGCGGATTAGGTTGGTGACGTGGCAGAGGTGGGCAGATGGCCAGCGGAAGAGGAATCGGACGGCCTGGGATCGCCACCAGTGCAACTGAAGGGAGGATAACCGGAATGGGCGGGAAAGGGATGAGGGAATGAGGGGGTTGATCCATACCTCTTGATTGAGAGCAATGCGAGAGCTGACAGCATGTAAGCCTTGATGGGTGCACGCACGGCCATGGCCTACCTGCTCCCTGTGTTTGTCGTGTGGCGGCACCACCCCTGCTACCTCCACCGACTGGGATGCCGCACTCACAGCTGCACCCCACTGCCTGGCACCCCCGCAGCACACAGGGGACCGAGGCAGAGGCAGGGCGAGAGGAATGGAGTGTCGGAGATGGGAGAGATGTGGCATGGGCAAGTGGAATGTGAGCCGTGTGCAGCGCAGTGCAGTGCTCAAGAGAACACAACCAATAATGGCTGGGTGCAACAAGCCGACACCGCAACGGAGTGGCACCACTCGGGACCAGCACATGCTTACGTGGCGACGCGTGATTCGTTGGCCAGCAGCAGCAGTTGGTGCCGGCTCAACGCCCCAGTGCAGACACGCACCACCGGATCTGCTGACGTCAGCAGGGCTTCCAGCTCATCCAATCCCTGGGAGGCGCCCTGAGCGGCCTCTTTGGCGGCGGGACTGGAGGCGCATGCGAGGGCGCGCACGGGCGAGTGGGCGGCCACGGCGTGTGCTGCTGCCTGCTCGCAGAGAGGCCCAGCGAGGGGGGCGAAGAAACAGGCCAGCGACTCTGGTGTGGCTGTGGAGGGTGAAAGGGGAGACAGGCGGGTGGGTGGTAGGGGAGGGGATGGGGTTGCGGGGGCTGCGTGGAGAGAGGATGGGCGGATGAAATAAGTGCATGAAGGAGAGTTCGATCCATGGCATGGCAAGACATGGCATGGCAATGGTGTGGCGCACCGGAGCAAGCGGAGTAGTTGGCATGGGGGAAGGAGCCCGGTGTGACAACAAGCGTGCGGTTGAGCAGCACTGCCAGCGCCAGCAGGCCCCCCACCACATGCACCTCCCTTGCCAGCCCCTCCATGTCCCCCATGCCGCCTCCCCCGTCCGCCTCCCCTGCCCTGCCTGCTGCCACGTCAGCATTCAGATGAAGCCAGTCAGCAAGCAGCAGGCGGCGGTGGTCGCATGAAGGGGGGAACTGGTGCTGCCAGATGTGCGTTTGAGCGACACGTGTCAGCGGGAGATTGGACGCGTCGTCACCTCGTACCTTCACAGCCCACAGATCGCAGCACGCAGCACATGGCACACGGCACACGGCACATGGCACATGGCACATATCGGAAATTGGAAGACAGAATTCATACGAGACATGGCGCAAAGGCAAGTAGGAGGACGCGCTCTGGCGAGGCAAAGAGATGGAGAGGCGGCGGAGTGGCCGGGTAGCCATGGATCAGACACCATGCCTTCACACATCGCACCTCACTCCACCCCATTGCACCGCACCACCACTCACACCCCACCTACCCAGGGCGGTTGGGGGGAGCAACCGCAGCACTGGGAGGGCGCGGTCCAGGGGGGTGCCTCACCCCCCTCCCCCCGCGCCTCTGCGCGCGCCCTGGCCGCCGTGCCCGCCGTGCAGTCCTCCAGGTGCGGCGCGGGCGGCACGCCGGGCGGCAGGGCGACGGAGAGGGGCGGCAGGAAGGAACCCGGCGTCAACTCGTACGCCGCCTCCCACGCCTGCTCGCGGGATGGATGGGAGGAGAGGGGAAAGATAGCGGGGCGGGGAGTGGGAAAAACGGGGGAAGATGGGGCGAACAGGGCAGTGGAGGAAGAGAATGGGGAGGGGTGTGGCAGAGGCAGGGGGGAAAAGAGGAGGAGACGGCGGAGACGCGACGGTATGGGAGCTGGCGCGGCGTGCAGGGCGAGAGCGATGCGCGACGGCGCTCCGCTGATGCTGGACAAGCCAGTTCCACGTCACGGTTACCCACTGGAAGCATCAGAGCAGCGCTTGACTTGAGCCTCACCTCGTGCCACGCCAGGCCTTGCTCCCCATGTCCCGCGCCGGTTTCACCGCCGCTAGATGCGCCTGCTTGCGCAGCAGCGGGGGAGAAGCAGACGTAGCAGCAGGCGGCAATGAAGGCGACGGCAGCGCAGTGGAGGCGAGGAGGGCCCATGGCGTGGAGGCGCGGAGTGGACCCCCGCGAGGAGAGACGCGGCGGGCGAGGCGTACGAAGCGGAGAGAATCTATGGACGCAAGGCCTTTAGGTTGGTCTGCGCAATAGACGGGTCGCATTTATCTGTGAGAGGGCGGCATTTGAACAAAATTGGAAGGGAGACGGCATGGAGGGAGGTGAAGGCTGGTCTCTGTACTCGATAACCGATGATTCAGAGAAAAATGTATGATTGCGGCTGTTTCTATGTGCAGTAAAACAATTATTCTTTATCCCATTGTTCTGTAATGAAATCCCAATCAGGTGTAGCGACAGTACTGCCCGTGCGGTGAACAAAACAGAAAGTCGCGTCGCCAGTGAGCTGTCCCATTCTCTCGATGCTGAGGGCGCGTGTCTTTTGGTGTAGAAGTTGGAAAAAAAAGGTCCAACTTTTGCTGGTAACCAGCTTCGCCAACTTCGTACAGAGCTATTGACGACGAACGTGTGTCCAAGCTCAAAGTTGCTGAAACAGAAGGACACTGAACTAGGGTCGACCTCGCATTCGACTATCCCCGAGCACGTTTCTCCAATCGTGTGTTCTTCTGCCCACGCACGAAGAAGCTGCGAGATTCGCGATGGTTACGAACCACGTCGCGCCAGATTACCCGAGTTGAAAGTGCTAACGAACTTCACTGTATAGACAGGGTAGCCTGGGAAAATTCGCGCGACTCGGATTTTACTGTACAAACTCGACCTTTGAAAGTCGAGCATTTCTTGTGCCATGTGCTCCACGTCAAGGTGAACACGCGACTCGACAATGAAATGACGAGATAGTCGACTACAGGTCGACCTGCGTTCAATTGCAAAAATTCGACTAAAAAAACATGAACTAAGACCTAAATTTAAAAAGACACGCGCCCTGATTTGTTTCGAATCACCGCTGTCTCCACTGTCGGCCCGTTGTTTGCTGCGCTGTTCTCGTCGCATCCAATCCAACCTGCTGTCTGCACCATTTGCAGATCGCGAAAGTCGTTCGCTAGCCTTCATCATTCGCGAATTTAGTAACAATAAACAGCCATCTCTTCTCAGCCAATTGTATTGCGCTCTTTGCAACCTCACATCCCTGCCGCACACTCCAGTTACCTTCTCACTCCCTCCCTCGTGCCCGCTACGCGCTGCAAGGTCGACTGGAATGTGGTGGACGCATTTATGACGTGGCAAAAAGTGCATTGAATGGCACTGTGCGTACAGTACTAGTACACTACTGTAGCAGTACTGCAAAGATCCCATGCGCCCCAATTTCCCCTCCACTCCAATCCCCTTTTCCCAATGCAGCCAGGCCCTTCCTGCTCCCTCCCACGCCCCTCAACAAACCCACCTTTCCTACCAGCCTCTGACTCTCGTCATAGGGTTTTCAGCTTAGCAGGGAGGGGTATCCCGACCCCTCCGCTTTCATGTTAGGGGTAGCGCTTTCTGCGCACAGTTTCCGCTAAATTCTGGGCTAGGGGGGGAGAGTTACTTTTCAGATTAGGGACTCGAGCTCTCAATGAGCCACGTTTCCCAGTTCTCACAGAGAGCTCACTGCAGGTGTTCAATCACATACTCTCCACTGTTCTGGTTTGTCGTTTCTACTCAATATATTACACTCGAAATACCCCAACGGACACGCGAGCAAAAAAATAAACCCCAGTCGGGAAGGCATCCGGTCAGGGAGGCATCAACCCTAAACACCTTGTGGCATGGTGTTTAGGGCTGATGCCTCCCTCGGACGCATTTTAGGGAGGAATCAACCCTAAACACGGGACCCCTCTTTCTTGTTAGGGTTGATGCCTCCCGAGTCACACCCCTTCTCGATTGGGTTTATTTTGTTTCGGTCAGTAAGGGTGCACATATTCTCAGGGTTTCGGGTGCAATGTAATTTGGACGAGAAAAAAAAAACAACAACGGCCACACAGCTTTGGGAACAGTGAGCTGACGAGCTAGCCTGGATTCGGTAGAAAAGACAAACAAGCGCAGTGCAGAATCTGAGATTGTAGATATACAGTGAGAGAGCTGTGTAGGACTAACCACGTGGCTCATTGAGAGCTCGAATCCCTAATCTGAACAATAACCCTCCCCCCCTAGCCCAGACTTTTGTGGAGACTGTGCACAGTTCGCACTCTCCCTACCCTGAAAGCGGAAGGTTCCAGATACATGTCCCCGCTAAGCTGAAAACCCCTCGTCATACCCATAGTTTCTTCCACTACACTAACCCCGCAGTCATGCACAAGTGACATCCATTTGGAAACCAAGAGCACATCGTTCAGCTGACGAGCACCACCAGAACACGGGGTGCGCTGGCTTGCAGTTCTTGCAGCACCACTCTTCGAATGCACGAGGCCGGAAGTTGCGGTCGAGTCATGAGTCTCAGCGTCGGCCCCTCGTCGCTGCCTGTCGACGGCTTCTCCGACCCCTACGAAACCGCGTACCGCTGCCGCCCGCCTAACTCCACCACCGGACTGCACCGCTCTCACGCTAGTGAGCATCAAGCGATGCTTCCAGGAAGCCGAGGCGCATTCAGTGGCGCCCCAGAAATGGCGCCGCCACCACACATGCGGCCACCGCCGTCCGTTTTCGGGGAAAGTTTCTCGCCGGAGCAGGGGTTTTCGGGACCTTCTTTCGGCGCGGACACGATGGCGCCTCCTATTGGCGGGTGGGGGTCGGTGAGGGCGGCGGTGGTCATCCGCAGCGGCGACGACGAGGACCAGTCGCGCCACGTCCCCATCGCCTACCGCCCGCCGCTCCATCCGCCCCGCCCGTGCGGCTCTCAAGCTCCGCCAGCCCCCGCGCTGCACCTGGCGGAGGGCGTGACGATAAGGAAGGGCAACGACGACGACTTCGAGGCGTCGCAGGCCTTTCCGCTTTCCGCCAGCAGCTTCCGCGGCAGCGCCCCGCAGGTGAGTGAGCCGCTGGCTTCCGTTATTCTCGCCCGCTCGTGCGCCTCGCGCCCTGCATCGCTCCGCCGAGCTCCCCTGTTCCTCACCCGCCAATCCGCTACCACTGCTGCTCCCCCTCCACATCTTCCGCTTCCCTCCCCACATCCTTTCTCCGCACCCCCTATTCCGCTCCCCCTTCTGCAGGCACCTCCGCATCTCCGCCGCCTCGACCCCGCGTTCCCCGGCGCCGAGTATCCCCCGACTGCCGCAGCCGCGCCGTGTTTCGACGGCTACGGCGGCCGCGGCGACTTCGGGGCTTATACTTCCAGCCCGCAGCGCTTCGACGGCGCGTGTCGCGTTTCCCCTCCGCAATACGGAGGCGTTGGCGCAGGCCGCATGGGCGGGACCCCGCATGTGTATGCAGCGGGCGGAGGGGGCAGCGGGGCAGAATGGCCGGGCCATCAGTTCGGCAGCGACCCGGGTAGGGGAAGGCGGAGCTTGGACGGGGGTACTGCGCGCATGGGCATGGGGGCGATGAGGGACGCGAATGCGGCCGGCGAACTCCGCGAAATGGCAGGCGTGGGCAGCATGCGGACAGGACAAGGCGTGTTCACATCGCGGTCGTACGACGAGCAGAGGAACCGCGAAATGTACGGCGAGAAGCCCGGGGCAATGCGCGGAGCCGTGTGCGCGGATGGCATAGGTAGCGAGGGAAGCTGGCGGAGCGGGGGCGAGTACTACCCGGGCGAGAGGGAGGCGGAAGGGCGAAGCGGCGGCGGGAGCCATCAGAGCGCGCTGTCGCTGAAGGAGGAGCTCGCGGCGCTCGACGGGGGCGGCGATGGCGCGCACGACGAAGCGCCTCTGCGGAGCTCCCAGCAACCCAACTCCGACGAAAGCTGGGTGCGCGTGTGAGAGGGGTGGCGGAAAGTGGGGATTGGAAACCGTAGGAAAGGGGGGAAAGGGGTTGGATGGGGAAGCGGGTATCAAACGGAGAAACGGATAATGAGACAGGAGATGCAGCGATTCTGATAGTGTCGCGCGTCGCTATACCTCTCGATACGAATCGTGCTACACAGCACAGGAGATGTGCGCAATACAGGAACGAACTACACTTAATCAGGCTTTAGGGTATAGCACATTACAGGATTTGGAAAGCACTACGGAAATTACAGTGGCATGTTTCATTTTTATGCACAACCAAGAACAATTGAACTGTAAAGTTTGTTCATAGCACCAACCACGCCGCACTACCCCAACACTGGTACGTTGCACAGTACGCCCCATTGTCGTGCCGCATGGCCTCATTGGCCATATCTTTTTTCCCTCCCCCTTTCTCCCCCCCCCACACCCACCCTCTCCCTCCCCCTTTTTCCCCCATATATGCAACCACTTTCAGAACCTACCATTCAACCCGTCATGCGAATACCCTCAAAGCAACCAGTTCAAATACCACCCTAAACACTCCACCAACGTCACTGCAGATTCTGGTGCTTACTTGAGTGCCGACTTCTCCATCTACTCCTCCACCTCCCTCTCCCTCCCATTCCGCTCTCGCCACCCAACAACTGGCTTTCCTCCTGGCAGCAGTGGGGTGTGGGGGGGATCCGTGGTGGCAGAGAGTGATGCAGGTAGTGTGATGGGCGCTGGGGGGGCGGGAGCAGGCGGCGATTGTCGTCTTTTTACGCAAGAGCAGCTGGCGAGGGCAACGGACAACTGGAGCCCGGCGAATCAACTCGGCAAGGGTGCCTTCGGCACGGTGAGCTCAGGGATATAATACTTAAATGGTGTTTAGGAAGAGTGTTTTAAAGGATGGTGAAAGAGCTAGCAGTAACACAACAATTTTACGTGTGATTTGAGGCGGATGAGTAACATGCCTCATTGCCTCCCCTGCGCCGTTTTTCTCTCCCCCCTGTCAGGTGTATCGGGGCCGGGTGATGGGGTGTGAGGTGGCAGTGAAGCGGCTGGAGGGCAGCAGCTGGCAGGGCCCGGACGAGTACATGACGGAGGTGGAGGTGCTGAGCCGCATGCGCCACCCACACATCGTGCTGCTCATGGGCCACTGCCCCGACGCCATGTGTCTCGTCTACGAGTATCTGCCAGGTGGCTCCCTGCAGGACCACCTCAAGCCCACCGCCGGGCGGCGGCCTTTGTCTGTGGTGGAGCGGGTGCGGGTGGCGTCGGAGGTGGCGTCGGCGCTGCTGTTCCTGCACCACCACGACCCGCCCATC